AGTTATTTAATTATTTCAAATTTAAGCCTTGAATTCTAACATTTAAAAATTTTAATCCTATATAACGCTTAATTATATTTAATAAGAATTTTATTTTTGATTCCAAAAATATTATGAATTATTAATATTTTAAATATCTCAAAAATAATTATAGTCATACTTTTATGTTTATGTGACATGTTATGGAAACTAAAATTTGTTCTTCTATTTTTTTTATTTTCAAATTTCTTTTATTTTATTTATTTTTTAAATTTTTAAAATTTTTCAATAATATGTTGATAAGTAAATAATGTATTTACTAATATAAGAAGAAATACATTTAATTATATTATGAAATAATCTCATTAGAAATGCAGAAAATAGAAAAAACTAAAAATAATTACCCAAAAGTATAAATTATATAGGTTAATATATATTTGATTTTTCTCTTTACAAAATTTCTAAAATAAATATTTACATAACTTAACATAATATAAATTATTGACTAACAAATGAAAAATAAAATGAGAAAAATAAAAAAAAATATAAAAAATATAAATTTATTTTAATGATTAATATTTAACCGACAAGGCTTTTATGAATCAGCCGGCTCATCTATTTATATTAATCCTCCCTCTAAAGTCCATATTTATTTTATTATAATTTGTTTTAGATCGCTTATTTATATATTTTGGTAGAACACCACATTTTGACATTCATCTTTATGATGGATGTTAATTGCCTTGGGGATGCAAATATATAATTCTATACCTGACACAAGCTGCAATTTTCTATATTTGATATGATGGGGAACACACGTGCATAACACTATTTTAAAGTAAAACTAATATTATGATATATTTTCTGGACTGTTTATTTGTATATTTTGGTGGAACACCACATTTTAATATTCATCTTTAAGATGGATGTTAATTGACTTTAATATTCATCTTTAAGATGGATGTTAATTGACTTGGGGATGCAAATATAGAATTTCGATGTAAGTTACCATTTTTTATATTTAATATCACGTCAATGGATGTGCATAACACTTAATAAGTTATGTGCTTTCTTTTGTCAAAACCATATTATGCACATTTGATACAAAAGACCAACAAACCATACCGATGACAGAAATGTTTACATATAAATGATATTCAATGAAAAAAAAACCAATAAATTAGATATCAATGTCTTCTTGTAGCTTTCGTATTGTTTTAGCCTTTGCTCTAGAATATCAGATATGTTTGTCACCACTTATTTCATTGTTGTTTGATTTCTAAAAATATTTAGCATGACCTTATTTTAATGTGATTTGTGTTCAGGAACTTCTTTGTTATGTGTTTTAAACATGATCTACAATATTTGCTTATAAAAATTGATAAATTTAATATGTAAGTATCATGAAATATATAGGAAAAATATCTCCTTATCATCTAATTTTAACTTTTATATCTCAAGAAATCTAAGAATTAAAAATATTACTTGTAAGCAATCCTCTAGACGATTTTGACCATAAATTTTTTACCCAAATAAACACTAAAATGACACTCTATCTAAACTTCATCTCTCTCTCTCTCACATTGCCGTCTCTTTCTCAAAATTCCATCTTCCACCCACCTCCACCGCCTTTTCTAGGGACGGGTCCTCCTCATCAGAGAAGTCGTGGCCATCATGGATTAGAGAGAGAACATGGAAATTCTTTTTTAGGATTTCAACTAAGTTGCCAACAGTGGTGGGGTGACGGCACCGTGGGCAGACAAAGAGTGGTTAGAGGAGGCAGCAAAGAGGCACGTCAAGCAAGCCCGACAGAAGCCATGCCCATGGTGGAGGAGCATCGGTGTGCATTCGCCCTCGTCGTGGGCCAATTGGGACATTGAACAAGTTGGGGTTTTTATGGTGTGGGGCAAAAAGAGAGAGATGGGGCTAGGGCAGTAGACAATGAAGAAGGCGATTGCGAGAGGAACTCGGGGGTTTAGGGTAGAGAGAGAAAGTGAGGGTGGAAGGAGATTCGAAAGAGGTAAGTGGGGTTTGGCTTAGAGAGAGAAAGTGGGGGACTGTTGTCAGAGAGTGGGGATTTGGGAAAGCAGATCCATGGGAGGAAGGGGTCCCCTTACGAAAGAAGTAGCCTCATAAACCCACTCGTGCGAGCAAAAACCAGCTTGTTCATGGAGTAACAACACCCTTTCTCTCTCTCTCTCTCTAACTCTCTCTCTTTAAAAAACAACAGCTTCTGTGAATCTCATGTCGGCTCCCACTTCTCTTCTTCTTCTGGCCAAGTCTCCCCTCTTTCTTCTCTCTCTCCTCTCTAACTCTCTTTCACTCTTAACTCCGTGTTTTTTCTCACTCTAGCTACATTTTGGACTTTGTAACATACTATTTTGAGCATTTTCTCACTTAAGCTCCCCTCCCCTTCATTCTCTCTCTCTAAATCTGCTTTTCTTTCAGCAAGTTTTCGTCCACCTCCAAGGACTAATTTGCCTGGAAATGCAAGAAAATTCGGCAATGAAACTGAGGTTTCTGGTAACTTAGAGAAGTTATTTAATGAACCCAATAAAGAATCAGATGACTGTAGTGAATTTTCAGGCCAATTATACGAGTTTTCGAGCAAATCGAAACCCTTATAGTGATTTTGAGAGGCCCCATTGAGAAGCTTGGGTGATCGAGATAAAGTTGCAGAGAAATTTTCAGGTCAAAGAGATGAACTTTTCAGTAAGGTGAATGAATTTTTCGGCGACTCAATAAAGGTTTCAAACTGCTTAAGGGGTTTTGAGAGCTCCCAATTGAGAAGCTTGGGCGATAAAGTGAGGGACCCAATAAAGTTTTAGAGAGGGGAATTTTTCTTGGGGTTTTAGAGAGAGAGATGGAGTTTTGAGAGAGAGACGGTTATGTGAGAAAGAGATGAAGTTTTAGAGAGAGAGATGAAGTTTGGATGGGATGTTATTTTAGTGTTTGTTTGGGTAAAAAATTTATAGTTAAAATGTTCGAAGGATGGTAAGATAGAAAAAATAGAAACTTTTTGTTTATAAGTAATATTTTTAATTTTTGGGATGCATGAGATATAGAAGGTAAAAAAAAAAACATAAAGAGATATTTTTTTAATAATACATTTTATGATGGAAAATAAAATTGAAAATTATATATATAATATATATATATATATATATAAATAAAGAAGTAATGATTTTATAGGATTCTCTTTTACCTATGTGCAGGTCCTTAAATGATTACTATTAAATTTAATACAGATCTTTAAAAAATTTATCACATGAGTGGGATTTAACTTTTTTTTACATCTCTACCAAATTTAAAGATGATCCTTTCGGATTATAGGAAAAGATTTTATAAGATTATATATATATGAAAAAGGATACGGTAAGCGAGCTTGAATTTGATACGCTAACGGTTGCGATTGAATTACTACTTTTTCATAAATATCGACTTAATTTTAAATCCCAATATCTACAGTCCAACTCACACTGCATGCCATTACGGTAGCGTCCCGAGTCTCCCTCTCGCGATGGGAATTCTCTCTGCCTCTCTCCATCTCTGTAACTCATCTCTCTCTGGCTGGCCCTCTCTCTCGAACCCTCGATGACCCTCTCTCTCAAGCCCTCGCTGGCCCGCTGACCCTCTCTCTCAATCACTCTGAAACTCGCCCCTTTATCAATCTCTCTCCCGCCTACCCCTCTCCGCCCCTCTCCATGCATCTCTTACTGCCCCTCTCTCTCAATCTCCCTTTATGTCCCTCTCTCTCTCTAGAAATGCAACCTAAAACACTACAAAAATTCTGAAATTTTCTATGCTCCATTGCTGCTGCAAAGACGATTAGGACTGTCTTCGGTGGATTTGAGGTTCATCCGAGGTTCAGGTACGCTATCGTTTAATCTTTGCATTTCAATTTTGTTTGTTCCATTTTGGGGGTTTTGGTTTTACAGTAGTTGAATGTGTTACTGTGAATAAATGACTCTTTTTTCAGATATTGCTTGAGTCAAATGGTATTGTTAAGCATTCACCAATGTTATTGTCCTTATACATTGCAACATGATTTGCTAAGTATCTCACTATCATCTAACTTTAGTGGATTTGAGGTTCATCTAAGGTTCAGGTACGCTATCTTTGAATCTTTTCCATTCCTGTTTTAGTTTGATTTCTAAAGTCAATTTCTTTATGTTTTTAGGATATCTTTGAATCTGTGTTGGTGCTTTCGTTTATCTTTATTTTTTTAGGATACCGTGTTAGTGCTCTATTTTGATTTTTACAGGTGATATCAATCTTTTGTTTGGGTTTTGGGGGTTTTGGTTGTCTCTGTGCTTATCATAAGCTTTGCTCTGAGATTCGTTCTCAATATGATAAAACAAGTTTCCTTTTTTATTTTGGTCTGGTATGTGAACATATTGGTTGCAATTTCTTCTCTTCCTTTAGTGGCATATATTTTACCTTCCTTCCCTCTCTCTCTCTCCCTCCCCTGCTGCCTCCTCCATCTTTCTCTGTGCATCTTCTACCTCCCCTATTTCTCTCCTGCTGCCCCGACAGCCCCTGTTGTTGCTTTCTCTCTCACCCCTGCATCCTCTGCCTCTCTCTCTCTTCCCCGCTGCCTTCATCTCTCTCTACATATTATGCCCCCCTTCTCTCTCTCTCCTGTTTGTTGGTGTTTTTGCTAGTAATGTTGACATATGAGCCTTTTTCTTTCTAAAATCGTGCACTAAGCCCTATGACGAGATAGAAAGAGAAAATTTGAAAATAGTTGGTTGATTAAAGGAGGCAGTGGGGGGAGAGAGAGAGAGGGGAGGAAACAGAGAGTGCAAAGGTTGAGAGAGAGAGATAGGGAGAGAGAGGGAGCCGGAGTTTAAAGTGTCAGCCCTATCATAGGACCTTTTATATTTCTCTCAAACTCTCTTTCTCTAGTTAACAAAAAACTCTCTCACCCATCTTCTCTCTCTTTCTCTCTGCACCCATTTCTCTCTCTTTTTCTCTCTACCTCCCTCACTCTTTCTCTCTCTACCCTCCTTCATTCTTTCTCTCTTCCCTCCCACACCATTTCTCTCTCTACCTTCCCTCGATCTCTCTTTCTCTCGCTACCCTCGCTCATTCTTTCTGCTGAACTGATAGTGGCTATGTGAAATACATTTGATTAGAATTTTTCCTTTTCTCTTTTGAATGGATTGAGTACTCTTGAAGTTATTTAAAATCTATTTTTATGATTCTTTATTTGCTAAATTAGTGCTTGTTCATGTGAAACATAACAGATTATGGTGTCTTCTACTATACCTGAAATGGTGGAGTTTGGTTGTGTAGTATAATTTTTACACTAACACAGGTTTATCATAGCTGAAATTTATGGGTTAAACTTATTCTATCAATACTTGTTCATGGGGAAAATGTGTCATATGGAGAAGCATTTTTTTGAATCAATGGTTGTAGGTTACTTGTGGTTGGGTTGCATATATGATAGGATTTGTCGTGTAGTTTTTTATGAATGATGCAATTTTTTGACTCGGAGATGTAGCTATCATTCTATCTTGGTAGTCCTTGTTTGTTGATGGTTGTTACACTGGACCACTGATAAAAGATTATATCTTTTTGCTTATAGAAATTCTTGCTCTTCTTTTTCGTTCTTTTTTATGTATCACTTTTTGTCCCATAATATAGTCACTAGAAGTCTGCATCAAAATGAAAAGTAATGTGCATCAGTGCCAAACAGATGTGGTGTAAGCATTGATAATGCATCAAAGTTTTAAATAGATTATGGAAGAAAAAGCATTAAATGCGACAAATTCACAATTGGCAAAAGAGTAAAAAGAAACTGGATATCCTGGGTTTGCTGGCTGATCTTTATTTTATCCTCTTCATTTTTTCTTTGCATTGTTCTCACGCTTTGTGTTGAACTATGTATGTTTCTGAGAAAGAAAAAGAAAGGAAGTAGTGAAAAGGAAGCAGTGGTTATTCCTTGACCTATGAAAGGAAGCAGTGAAAAGGAAGCAGTGGTTATTCCTTGATCTATGATTTGCCAAAACCTTGCTCAGAACCTTCTGCAATCAACGTGTTTCCATTAAGCATCAGTGCAGACAAAGTGTTAAATTCCTTTTTTTTTTTTGAATGGTTACAAAGTGTTAAATCCTTATGGAAGGTCAGGCTTAGTTTTTCTTTTGAATAAAGACGACTATGTATTTAGAAAGATATAAAAAGGTGCTACATGTAAAAGTTGCAGTACATAAAGTTTCAGTACATAGTCTATGACTATGTATGCAAAATGAGGAAAAGCCATCCCAAAACCAAAGGAAGCTTCTCAGCCTCGCAAAATAACCGAGCAGCCTGAGAAGAAAAGACAAGATGTGCCAGTGCCTTCACTTTTTTAGGGTTGTGGTGAGCGCAACCCGTATAGCCAAAATTATCTGTTGTGCTGTTGGGCTCATACTGAATGTGGTGAAACATGACATTGATCAAGGCACTTACTGCTAAAATTTCTTCAAAATCTGAAGCAGTCTCCATTGGCAAATACAGATCCTGACAGCGCAGTTGATCGTGTTTTTTGAATGCCCTTTGGCAACTTTTGGGTTGCACGAGCTGGAATTGAATAATTTGAGTCTCTGCAAAAGACTGAGAGCTTCGGTCATAGATGTTTGGCAGCACCTATAGGCATCTAGAAAGATAAGATCAAAGAAACCTTGTTATCCTAAAAATTCCTCCTACTCCTGCCATTCCTTGGTTTCCATATCTGCACCCATAAAGATTGAGTTTTATGGTGCCCTGTTCGTGGTTGTCAGAGTAACGACCTGGCATTGAAGGCTCTACCAGATCTGGCTATTGTGTCCCAGTTTAGTATGAAGTCCAAGGCCGTTTCGGCTTTGAAGATTTTTTGTTGTCTCGCTCATTCAAATAAAGCTGTTTTAATGTTCTCCTTGACATTTTGAATAGTTTTCTCTTTGCCTTTGAAGATCCTTCTGTTACATTCTATCCATACATTCTGTAATTGGGCAGGTATTAAGGCCCTACAAAGGGTAAGGCCTGACTTTGGTAAGCGCAGTGAGAAGTGGGCTCTAATAAACTGTTCAATGGTTTCCCGCACCACCATTCAACCCCAAACAATTGTAATAGTTGGCTGGCTGAAATGTTTCCTGTCTGGCCTTTCTAGTGTTTATTTCTTTTTTGTAAGTTCCGAATTCTGCATTTGTACTTCATAGATTTGGATTCTTGTATCATAGTTGATATGGACATGTCTCATATGGGAGCTTCTCTTTTGGTTTTGTTATTATTGTTAGTTTCAATCTCACAACAGCGGATACTTTCTTGTAGCCTTTCATTTTAGATGGTCAAATATTCATTTCAAAAATCTTGAAGATCAAGGGGTCTCTTTCTTAAGGAGGGATCTTAGCGGCAAAGATGGATTCTACGGTGTTAGATGGTGCCCTTCAACAAGACTTGGAAGGTTTGAGCAGTTCGTAGATGGATCCATTTTTGTCATTTCTTATCATGTTAGCTTTTATATTTGGTGATTCCATTGATGAAAATTGTTAGTGTTGTATTTTGATGTTTCTCTCATCCTAGTTTATCCAAGAGCAGTGGAAGGAAAAATTTGTCCTTCGCATGAGACGAGATTCTTTGATTTAAGCCCTTTGTACACTTATAGTTAATTACCAATCACTAGTTGCTAAGAAGTATATTTTTATGTTGCATTGTTTAATAAGCAGATGTAACGGTAAAGGTTGGTTCTCACTTAAGAAGGTATACATTTTGTGTAAGCATGATAAAGACATTTGCCTGCAGTGGGAAACACACTGAGAATGTGACAATAATGAGTATTGTGGAGATGCCAAAGGGGCTTAGGCAATTGAGTTGAGTAGTTCCATTTGTCTTGTTTTAGCACTTATCTCACCTGATACTGATGATACTACTGTTGCTATTAAAAAACCCATCATTAGCAGTTTTGATGACGGATTTCATGGGTCAGTCCAACGTTTTCTGGATGTTCTGTTGTAGAGACATGGGTCTAACCTGCCTCTATGGAGGCCTCGTTGGAGAGATGGTCCTTTTGGTCACAACTGGAGGAAGTCTATAAAGGTAGTCTTTGCTGGCTCTGCATGGATATTATAGCTAGAAAGAAACAACCTATATTTTAAGGAGAAAGGATGTAGATGTTATAAAGAGAGAATTAGGACAGCAATAATACATGGGAAAGATCAATAAGGGGCTGTTTGGGTACCTGGAAATCTATTAAGTGACAATAGATTACAAGGAAATATGGCATTTCCACTGTTTGGGTACACTTAATCGTAAGGAAATCCATTACACGCTGTGATAGGTGAAAAATCTATTACGAGAGTGACGGGCAATTTTGGGAAATCTTTCGCGTGCGTTTTTGCCTACCACCCTATCCCTGATTAAAAAAATCTTCTAAGCCCTCTCTCTTTCTAATAACTAAGTGATCCCTCCCTTTTTAAGCTCGTTCCCTATCTGAAGGCATCAGCTGTCATATAACACAACACAATCATAATAAAAATGTTCACACAACATAATGTGATCCCTCCCTTTTTAAGCTCGTCCCCTCATCTAAAGGCATCAGTGTCATATCAAAAAAAAAAAAAAAAAAAAAAAAAAAACAAAAGTAATCAATGATAAATTACACAACACAATCATAATAAAAAGTTTCACACAATATAATCCTCATTAGAGATTACTAAATTCTCAATTGAAATAACATACCTCTTTAGTTTCCTCCAATACCTCAAAATTTTATACTGCAATTACCAAACCTTCTAGATTACTGATCAAACTTCTTCCCATTTTTTAACTCGTACCCTACAGATTTTGAATTTAGTATCATAAATTTATTGTTTATTTGAAATTATATAGAGAGACATTTGAAAGACTTCTATAAAAAATAAATAAAAATAGGGCTTAGCATAATAAAATCATGTTATTCCAATCATATTGTTCTAATGACTTATCATGTTGAAACCAATGTCATGTTAGAAAACATGTGATTGCATATAAGTGCCAAAGGCACTTAAAATAAATAGGAAATAGTGTCATGACTGTAAAATGGTACAAATTATTATTAGAAAATCTTTTTGGAATGGTGATAATATTATTATTAGAAATCTTTTTGGAATGGTGTGATGATTTTAATTTAGTATTTTAGTGGAATTTTGTGACAAAAAAGAAGGAAATGATAATTCTGCATTTTAGTGGAATTTTGTGGCAAAAAAGAAAGAAACGATAGTTTATAGGCACGTACTAGTAAAATATTGGTAATGCATTTCCTATATTTCTTCCAGACATAGCCAAACAATAACAATGTATTTCCCAGGTTGCATCTAAATACTACTCAAACAGTAACAATCCATTTACAGGTAATATATTGCGTAGTAATGTATTACGCCAGTAATATATTTCACAGACAATATATTTCCAGGTATCCAAATGGCCCCTAAATGAGTTTTGGGGAAAAATCCAAGTGCTGTTCTTTCCAAAATCATTTAGTGTTGGCTTTTGCTCATGCTCCATTTTTGATTGAAATCTACACAACAGATATTTTCCTCTCTGTGACAACTAAATTCTTGCTCATGACTCGATAATGAGAAATCGCCCATCAGGAGGGTCTCCCTTATGCATTTTCAATTTTGTGCTTCAATCATTCATCTGGAAGGCCTTTGAGATTCTCTGGAGGAAGCATATCATTGACCTAGCCCATAGCTTTCTTTATGCTTTTCACTTCAAGGGGTTCAATAGGAAGTGCGATCATCTGTATCCCAGAAGAGGGGATTACAGGTAGTGGCATATTCAATCCTAAGAGTCAAAGCAAGATCTTGAAATATTGGAACCATCACCATGCTCCCCTTCTGCAACTAGCAACAAGGCCTTCCTTTCCCCCTCTAAGCCTCTCTTTTTGCCTCCTGCAACCAGCAATCATACCCAGTCATCAAGCAATCATGGAGCTAAATTGCACTCTATCCCTTGGGTTTCTTAGCAATTCTACCCATACCTTAGCTTGCCACAACCTCTGAAAAACTCAACCAAGCCAGTTCCACCTTATCCCTTCCTTTATCACCGATACATTAACTGGATCAGACAAGCCCCAACAAGTTCTCTCCACTCTTAAGCCCTCTTTCCTCTCCTTTGAACCCCTATCCCTCAATCATACCCATCCCCAGGTCCTTAATGGAGATTTCCTTGCTAAAAGGTTGACATCCCTCCTGCATTCACTCATAGGGGTGTTTCACTCTCGGAGGAACGACATTAGAGGAATAAAAAAGTGGTGCAAAGAACTCTGGAATGAACCAGACCTGGGGTGTTGGAAACTCTCTGAGGGGCCCGTCCTCTTCTCATTCCCATAAGATACCTTGGCTACC